AAGGGTCTAGGCCCGAAACGTCAGCCTTTCTGCTCCTATGATGCTGCTTCACCTGCTGTGTTCATCCAGCTCTGCACCTTGTTGTCTCGGATTCTCCAGCATCTGCAGTTCCTTGTATCTCTGCCAGCCAATTAGATTTCTTTCAGTAGCTGTCTAAGATGGGACTTCCACCAAGATGGATGTAGAATTCTAAAACTTGGCCAGTGATTGTCTCCCTGATTGTAAAATAGCTGCAGGCCCATTGGCTTTTCTATTGATAGGTTCTTGGCCAAGTTTTTAGATGAATTTGGTGGAGGGGGATACTGGATGCTCTATAAAGTTCAGTGCAATGTTTCTGTGGCAAGAGGACAGATGTACAAGTTGGTAAATTACAGATGTTCAGAACTGAGGTAAAGAAGTACTGCACCACCAGGATGATTATCCTGTCAACGTTGTGATGTTATGAGCATATATAATTCTTCAAAAGGTGGCTGGATTTTGAGAATGGATACCATCAGTTGTCATGGAAGAATTGTTGGACTAATCTTTGTGATTTTATTTTTGTGTGTGAAACACTGGTTTAAAATAATTACTGACTGCAGAAAAGAAAAAATATCTTCATTGGGTGATATCTTTTAGGAGGCTAATGAAGAGTTGAAACCAAATAAAGGAAGTGATATGTTGCACTGAAATCAGTGGGACTGTTTTCAAACTGAGAGTCATGAAGAAGCTTTATCCAGGATGTAACAGACCTGATATATCTGTAGCATTGACAAAAAGCAGGATACCTTTATCTTTGATGCCCCATAATGTGCTAGAGCATTGTTGTCTGCTAAACACTACTTGAGGCTGTGCAACAGCTTGGAAGCTGCACTGCAGCGTGGTTGCATTGATATACTGCATATTCTTGGCTGTGTGGCGACTACACAAGATACTTGAAGGAACTGTGAGTTTAGAGAAACAATAGAGTTTTAACAGGAACATCGATAGTTTCAGCCAAGTGACTGTTGTGGAAATTTCCATAATTCAAGTACTAACAAGGATGCTGCATAATACTGTGAATTGGAGCAGGATTTGACATTTAAGACCACCTGTCTTGGAGATAAGTATAGCCAATCATAGCAATTTCTCACAAGCTTATTGGTGCATTCTCGAAAATTGTGACTGTAATAATAGATTCCTATGGGCATCTGTTAAAATTTCAGTTAGGTTCCTTTAGACAATTCTGCCCTGCAGAAAACAGGCAGAAGGTTAGTGTGCTGGTACTACAAATAATCAGGAAAGCAAATAGAATGTTATGTTTTATTGCAAGGGGAATTAAATGCAAGAGTAGGGAGATCAGACTTCACTTATACAGCGTGTTGGTGAGACCACATCAGGAGTACTGTACAGGCACTTCTGCTATAACGTGTGTTTTGTTAATGTGATGAATAGTGGATGCCGTTTGGATAACGTGAACTTCCTACGGGACGGTATAGTGATTTTTCTGCAATGATTTCCCCTATAACGCAATTTTTGTTCACCATTTTCTATAGCGCCAGGTCACACAACTATCGCATTATAGGAGAAATACCTGTATACAGCACTGCACCCCGTACATATGGAAGGATGGTAATGCATTGGAAACAGTTCAGAGAAGGTTTACTCAATTGATACCTGGAATAAGTGGATTGTTTTATGAGAAGGCGAAACAGGGTTAAGCCTGTATCCTTTGGAATTTAGAAGCATGTGGGACCCTGAGGGGACTAGACTGGGTGGATACCAAAAGAATGTTTCCTCTTGTGGGAGAATCTACAGTTAGGGGTCATAGCTTAAAACAAGGGGTTGCCGATAAGACAGAGATGAGGAAACCACTTTTTCTCTCTCCAAAGGTTGTGTGTCTTCTCTGCCTCAAAAGGCAGTGGATGCAGAAA